CCAATTTTGCACCATTGGTGCAGAGCAATCACGGAAATTAGATATTTATGGTAATCATATAATTTTGCACCAATAGTGTAGGATAACGCAAGAAAATAAATATTTAGTTTTTACGAAATTTGGACTTTTGGCACGAACGAATTAAAACATGATGTCAAATTTTTTTAATTATTTCCTCCAGTTATTCTGCAATGTTGGTGCATTTTACATCGATTTTCCCAATTGTTTCGTATCATTTTGGACAACTGATTGTTCGATACTAACGGTGCGACTTATTTAAAAATTGTAGTCCTCCGTCGATCAATTTTCCAAGCTGCGTCGCACCATTTGCATACTGATTAATCAAAATTGTGTAATTATTTCTTCCAGTTATTCTGCACTTTTGGTGCGTTTTGCATAGATGATAGTAGTATACCTGGTGTATAACCTGACTCCAAACGCTATACCCAGCCAGATATAGGTATATCCGGTTGAGTATAGGGCTAAAAAACCTGCTCCACGCGCTATAGTGGTTCGGATATAGGTATATCCCACGCTATATATGGCTAAAAATAGAAAAGGTAGAGGACGAGCCCATGTATATGAGTGTATATGAGACCATGTATATATGTATATGAGTATATGCATGCATATGAATATGAATATAGAGCACGTGAAGGACAAGTGAAATACAAATATACAAGTTTTTATATTTTTTAAGAAAAACACACAAGTTAAAATGTACAAAATTATAAACCTTAGGCGAGACGCATAAATTACAATTTTTCATAACACTCGAAAAATTTTTACATAAAATATTTTACAAATTAAAGTAAGACGCATAATAATAATAAAGTAAGATTTTTAATAAAAAATTATTTAAAAATTATTAAAATAATAATAGTGTGTAAAAATGTATTTAAAAATTATTAATATTAAAATAATAATAGTGTGTAAAGTTACACTCGAATATTTTTACCTAATAAATAATGCGAAGAAGTAGAATTCGCGATCGCAAAAAGAGAATAAAAAATTAAGCCAATTCAATTTTAACCCGTTTATTAGGGTGAGAGGCAAAAAAGTCAGCGTTGAGGCGATCCCGTTCTAAACGTAAATAAACCGGTTCGTTGGGGTCGCGTTTAATTGGAGAAGAAATTGGCCTCGGGTCAATTCCCTCAAGTGCTCGCTTTTTAGCTTTATTATTTAAGCGGGCCAAGCACTCCTCTTTGCTACGCATACATTTATACTTTTGAACCTTAGCTAAAGTTTTTTTTTTTATTTTTACGAACTTTTTTGCAAAAGTCTCGGACGTAAGCTCGGTTGCAAAGACCGTCATCGTCATAACCAAAAATGTGGAGCATATGCCAATAGCTTTGATCCTGAAAGATGGAATTTACATCGTAAATAGTGCAACGCATTAAATGCATGAAAGACACGGTCCAGTGATATACAGAAGTGTGAGTGGTATACGTCTCATCCAATCGACCAGGGTCTAAAGATACTCGTCTGTTGTGCTTTATTAAGCCAACAATATCAGAGACTTCTCGTGGAGATGAAGAATACAAAAGACAAGCACTAGCAGCCACAGAGAAAGCGCAGTCGCCCCGACCCGCCGTCATGTAAGGGAACAAGTCGCAGAGGTCATTGTCATGCTTTTTTAATGTTATGCCACCACGCTTGTCCTTAATTTGTTCGTAATAATGGGGATCCGTAGAGTCACGAACAGTAAATTTTCTCCCCCAAACTTTTCCTATTTGTTCAGCAGCATAGTAAATTGCACGGTCATAAATGTGTCGGTCGGCGTCGATATAGTTAGAATCGTAATAAGCAAGTATATTTCGCGTCGTGTCAACGAAAATAAAGGCGGCATGACCGCAGCCAGAGTAATACTTAGGCAAGAAATCACGAAAATATGCAGCAATAAAGGTTACAGGGATAAATAGAAAATCTTTGTGATTGGCATGCATATCACAAAGAAAGTCGTAGTTCGTAAAAAAGAAATGTTGGCTTTGAGTTATTTTTGAACGGATTTTAGTATCTACACAGAAAAATTTGAAGACATACGTACACGAAATTTCCACATTGGGTGGGGTGACGCGAGACGAAAGAAAAGCGTTCGTGCTCGAATCAAGAGCCCCCTCTGAGTCGTCATTATTTGGAGAGGTAACATCATATGATTTGAGAAGATCTTGACTGTCCGTAGTCACATGAGTCAGTTCGTCGTATTCATCCCAACGAAGCCGATTCCACAAAAGATTGTTGGAAGGTGACCACTTCGGGTTTGGGGTTCCAAAGATAGTGGTCGTGAGGTCATTGAGGTAGGCCTGACCCCAACCACGACGAAGAATGGCAACAGTGGCGGACTGGAACAACTAGCAATAAATAAAAATAATTGTGTGTTAAATTGGGAACTTAAATTTAGAGAAATTAGTTCATTCATGCCATTGTGTAAATAAAAACCTAGAAGCAACATAGTGGTTGCAGGGAAAATTTCAAAATGGTGTTACACCCCCAAAAGCGTTGCATTTGCACGCTCCTAGGTCTAACTTAGACTATAAAACCCTTTCTTGCATTTCCGAGAGTTGGGGAGTCAATGTTTGACCGCATGAAAAAAGGGTCATTTTCCAAGAATTCTATTTATAGATTCTACCTGTTTTAGGGTCACTTTTCTTGCATCAAGGATTTTGAATAAAGCCATATTTCTGACTTCCAAGAATTGTGCACTTTATTCTACCATAACCATTTTCCAAGAATTGTGCACTTTATTCTAGCATAACCATTTTCCAAGAATTGAGCACTTTATTCTACCCCAACCATTTTCCAAGAATTGTACACTTTATTTCTACTCCAACCCTTTTCCAAGAATTTAGGGGAAACGTACTCGGCTGAATTCTAAGAATTTTGGAGCAACTGAATTCGCTAGAAATTCCAAGCACCTCGACACCAAGCAAGAAAAGGGTCAGTCAAGCTTCAGACTTTATTGCAGCAACATGGATTCCTGAGAGAGTTTTTGCGATGCTTGTGGCGGGTTTCACATTATTCACTGTGAAACTTGTGCCGCACTTCATTGTGCAAATGTATGCACCGTCCAACTTTGCTCATCTTGCAATCAACAACATACTGAAAACTGTACGTTTTGTTCAGAAAAGCACTGCCCTAGTGTTTGTAACTATATACTGGACGACTTTGAAAATTCTCTTCCTGCCCCATATCCCGATATTTTTAAATTATGTAGTGACTGTAACCATCATCACAGTGAAAAGTGCACGTTCTGTTCTGAATCACGTTGCCCCAGTAAATGTACCATTATATTGGCTGACTTTGAAGATTCGCCGCCGCCTATCGCCCCTTCACCATCGCTCGCTCAAAAACAACCCAGACTGGATTACAGGACGGGTACGTGCAAAGTATGCGGGGAAGTGTTCACCTACAAAGGAGCATTGGATGCATATTACCAACAACATCATGGATCAACGGCAGCCGAACCACTCTACTTTAACCAGGAAGGTGAAGGTCTGGACAACCAACTTCGTCTATCCAACACCATATTAAATACCGTACGAGTTTATACTTTGGACACTGCTAGCCACACTTACACCGACGTAGCCAGTGTGTTTAGACTAATTGTCCGTGAACTCCAATCCATCGTCCAGACAGAGTTGGATGAACACAAGTGCGTGAAGATAGCCACCGAGATGCACGCCCACTTTCACCGCCCGTATTTGGCTGCGGATGTTGTCGATTTTGAGGACATTGAGCAACAACAAAGTGATCTAATGAAACATACCAAACCAGATCCAGTTTTTCATGCTTTTCCACACACTATCCTCCAGAGCCATTTCATTCCTGAAATAATTAACAGCATCGCCTTCAAGTTGATTGAAAGTTGTAATGATTTTATTCACAAGGGAAGTGGATGGATTTTAGACTTCATTTCCAAACTTCAATTCAGCATTTCTCCATTTGCCCCATTCAGAGCTGGAGCCTATATACCCAACAATAATTTGCTACAGTTTAAAGACAAAAGTGTCCTCCTCAATATTGACAATCGTGTATATGGACAAGATGAGGTGCTTTATGTATTCGTGTTTAGCACACGAGAAAGTGTGTGGATTCAAGAAGAAATGGGGCGCGCATAGTTGTAGATACGATGGTAAAATCGAAGAATACAAAAAAGTATTAAATGAGAAGAAACTAAACTTTGACGGCCTTGTCTTTCCGATGACATTAAGCCAACTTCCTAAATTCGAAGAACAAAACCCTGGTTTTGCCATCAGTGTGTTCGGTTACGAAGAGGGCGACGCTGCAAGATCAGAATATTTCAAGTATCGCGATAAACCATTTAGTGCTTTGACCAACCTTCAAAAGACATCAGTTCATCGTGCCATAAGAAATTCTCCATTCCCGCTCTACATGTCTCAGAGACTTGCGGAATTTGAACTCAAAGACAGAATCAAGAAGAGCAGCGAATCGGTGAGGGAGTCAAACTTAATCGAAATTGACTTATTGCTTGTGATTGAGGAAACCGAAGATGGAAACAATTCGCATTTCAACCTAATCAGAAAATTATCATCGTTTCTAAGAACTGGTACTCTGTATAAACATCCTTGCCGGAATTGTCTAAATAGCTTCACTACACTCGTGTCTGCCATGGACCATCGCGAATTCTGTTATCAAATGAAACTTCAGAAAACCGACGTGCCCGAAGAACCCTTCTACTTTTTCAACCAGTATCATCGTATGGTGCGCACTCCATATCGCTATTACGGAGATTTCGAGGCCTTTGTCAAACCAAAGACAAGAAAACGGAACGCTAACGGACTAGAAGTGGAAGAATCAAATCATATTCCGTGCGGCTACGCTTGGGTGTGTGTTGATTGGCAAGCAAAGTTAAGTGGAGTGTCTACCGTACGGATGACGAAGAAGAAAATGTTGCCAAGAGATTTTTTGATGAAATACTACAAGACCACAAGTTACGACGAGACGTCATACAACTACTTCAGCAACAAAGTTCTAAATCCATGATAATTAACCCTCAACTGAGAGATAGTCTTAAGAAGCAAATCCGTGAAGACCCAACTAAACTTGATCCATGCTACTTTTGTGGAGAAAAGTTTAAGAGGCTAAGCAAAGAAGAAATATCCAAGGAGTTTAAAGACAGACCAAACATGGCTGTATTCCACCATGATCACTGTTCGGGAAAGTTCGTTGCCCTTGCTCACAATCGATGCAACTTGGAGGCATCAATCAGCACGATATCTCCATGTTTCATTCACAATCTCAAGTCTTACGATTCCCACTTCCTTGTGCAAGCATTCGACGAGACGATGGAGGCGACAATAATACCGTGTTCTTCAGAAAAGTTTATGTCGTTTACAGTGAATAAACAAATTAGATTTTGTGACTCGTTTTCATTCTTGAGTTCCTCGTTAGAAAATCTTACAAACACTTTAAAGAAGAACAACACGGACGATTTCAAGCTTACCAAGGAGATTTTCGGCAAAGCAGAAAATGTAATGAAACTTTACAACCGTGGAGGAACTGATCAAGAAATTCAAGAGTTGGGACAGCAAATCAATGTAGACTTGCTGCTACAGAAAGGTGCCTATCCATATACACATATGCAATCGCCTGCGAATTTTGAGGAGACCCAACTTCCACCAATCAGGGAGTTTTACAACGATCTGAATGACCAGCCACTAGATCAGAAAGTATATGATCATGCTAAACAAGTCTGGGAGAGTTTCAACGTGCAAAATCTTGGAGATTGGCATCTCTACGTACTCCTAGATGTGACGTTGCTAGCTGATTGTATGGAGAGGAGCAGAGAAATTCTCTGGGACTCTTACAACTTGGACTTGGCTCACTATTTTAGTCTGCCAATGATCGCGTATGATGCATGCTGCAAGATGGGGAAAGCCAAACTGGACTATGTCGATGTTACAATGCATTGTTGGTTCGAAACAGCACTTCGAGGTGGTGTGTGCGGTGTTGGTGGAGTTCGCGCAGCCGAGGCGAATAACAAGTATATGGGAGAGAAGTACGATGAGACAAAGACTGACAGTTACATTTCGTTCCTCGATATTAATAACCTCTACGGATCAGCAATGTGTTCTGCTCTTCCTGAAAAAGACTACAAGTGGTTAACTGAATATGAGCTGAGCAGAGTACGGGCCAATCCAAACGCCTTCGTAAATTCTCTGCAAGACGATGCAGAGACTGGTTACTTCTTCGAAGTGAATCTTGAGATACCGCCAGAGATTCATAACAAGCTAAACGACTACCCGCCAGCCCCAACCAAGAGATGTGTGAATAAGGACGAAGTGGCCCCACACCAGCATCAGCAGATTCAAGATCTCCAAGTACCTGAATCTATGTTCAAGAACGCAAAACTTGTAGCTGACCTGCTGCCCAAACAGCACTATGTGACACACTATCGTAACTTGAAGATGTACATCAAGCTTGGACTTGTCATTACGCAAGTTCATCGTGCGGTCAAATTTACGCAGAGGGCCTGGATGAAACCGTTTATCTTGTTCAACACCGAAATGAGGAAGAAGGCAATCACAGACTTTGAAAAAGACTTTTTCAAGTTGGTAAGTAACCTATTACCAACTGCTCATCTTAACTATGTTGACTGTCATACTTATGCATTCTTTTTGCCCTTTTAGCTTAACAATTCTTCATTCGGAAAAACAATAGAACAGAAAAGAAAACGAACGTCAATAACAGTCGTCACCACAGAAAGGCAGCTCAAGAAGATTGTCAACAAACCCACTTATCAGCGAATAATTACCATTAACGATAAAGTGCATCTGGGTGTGAAGAAAGTGACTCAAGTGCTTTTGGATAAACCAGTTGCTGTTGGAATCTCTATTCTAGAGATTTCAAAGTGTTTCATGTATGAGTTCCATTATGATTACACGAAGGAAAAGTACGGCGACAAGGCCAGAGTTCTCTACGGTGACACGGATTCCTTAGTCTACCACGTGGAAACTCAGGATTTGTATCAAGACATGGTGGAGAACAAGGAACGTTTTGATTTGAGCGACTATGCTGGAATGCATTCTCACTTAAATAATCAAGAAAACAAGAAGCGCCTCGGCAAGATGAAGGACGAAATGCCAAAAAGTGTAATTTTTCGATTTGCGGCATCAAAACCAAAAATGTACGGAGCTCAAGCACTTTCAATTGAAGACGGAAAGATGACCATATATACCAAAAAAGTGGCCAAGGGGATCAAGAAAGCCGCAATCGCCAATCAAATCACGTTTGACCAATATTGGAAAGTATTGGACGAAAATATTCAAACCAGTGTGGTGATTAAATCAATTCTAAGCCGGAAACATGTGCTTCGAACGAGTGCAACTATAAAGAAGGGTCTAAATGGCTTTGATACGAAACGTTGTGTCATTGATCATTTGACTACGTTAGCACACGGACATAAAGATATTCCCTTGTATGTATGATAGAGGGTGACATTGACATTACGCTAAAAACCCCTTTTACAATGGCGATCGTTGGGGGAACTCAATCAGGAAAAAGTACCTTGACTGCAAAGCTGCTTTCTCGCCGCATGGAACTGTTGGATCCGCCAGTAAATAATGTGAAGTACTGTTATCAGGAGTATCAGCCCAAGTTATTTGAGCAGATTCGAGAGGATATACCACATATTGAATTTGAAAAAGGACTGCCCAATGTGATTAATGATGATGGAGAGGCGCTAATTTTAGTTTTAGATGACTTAATGACTGACATTTCTCGTTCAGATGAAATGGTGAAAGCCTTTAGTGTTTATTCCCATCACAATAATGTCTCAATAATCTTTTTGACTCAAAACTTTTTTGAAAAGGGAAAAACTAGAAGTATTACTTTGAATTTGAAATATATTGTTGCTCTAAAAAATCCACGAGATACAACTTTTGTTAGCAAATTGGGTCGGCAAATGAATGGCGGACGAAATCACCCAATTTTGCAATATGCTCTAACTGATGTTATGAAAGTGTCGTATGGATATTTAGTAATAGACTTGAGCCAAACACAGGATGACAAGTTAAGGATACGATCTAGTTTATTTCCAGAAAACTGTACAGTTTATACAAATTTGAATAAATAAATTGTAAATTTGTAATTTTAACGTCTTTTAAACATTTTTCTACACCAAGCACAAAATCTTGTAAAACGATTTGTCAAGATTTTTTTGAATTGTTTGCGCTGTTGCTCAATTTCATACTCGTCTTCAATGTAGAACAGGATTGCGGGTCCTATTCGTACTTTTTTCATTGGGGACGACTATATCATGTCCGACCTGGTCCAATAGAGATTTACGGTAGGCAATGACCGAAAAATCCATCAAATTTTTCAAAAGAAGAGGGACGCTTGACGGTTGAATATGAATCTTGTTTTCTGCATCACCAAACACTTGACTGATTGTGATGAACGTACTTCCTTGAATAACTTCGGTCTTCATAGAGTATGAGTCTTTCCGAGGTGAATATTTTCGTTTTTTACTATTTGGCTCGTCACTTGGTTGTTGAATTAAGTCGTCAAATAGATTTAGTGCTTAGTCAAACAATGTTGAACTCGCCATCCTGACACAAATGATCAACGTAAAGGGGGGAGGGGGTAGACACGCCTATGCCTCTGGCATATAGATAGGCTATGCTTCGCATATGCTATGCCTTCGGCATATATATCAGAGATAGGTTATGCCTCTGGCATACGTGCAGGCTCCTCCCACGCTGAGTGAGCCTCTGGCATATGGTAGCAAACGTCACAAACCCGCCCAGCAACGTCTTCGGTACAGATAGTTGAAGGGCAGCCCCTGTGTTCTCGATAGCCAGCAATATCGCCAATGACGAGCAGTCGAGCAGCAATGAACTTGTGTTTGATTTTTTTCTCCTCTTTTGAAATTGGTGGAGAAACGTTTTGCTGGTATTTTGAAACTTCACCCCACTTTGAAAACAAAAACGATTTCGGGCAATATTGTTGAGGTAAATCCGGTTTGTTGGCATAAACACCTTTTTTGATTTTGAAATTGTTGTGATCTTCAACCAAGCTTTGACACTCACTCACAAAATAACCGAGATGGTCTTGAAGTGTTGGTGTATCACGAGCAATTGCCAGTAAATTCAGGGCCAAGTGTAAAACTTTCTCTTTTTCAATTTCAATTTGTCCAAGATTGTTCCGTATAACAACACGATCCACAAGAAAGTGAACAGGTCCAAAGGGCGAATCTTTGAAAGCATTACTCTTTACAAAAGACTCGAACACACCTGTATTGCAGGGTAAAATTTGTCCTTTGATGTTCTCCATGATGATGCCGGTACACGACTGACAAAAAGTTGAGCTCTGCGGCTACTTTTATACTCGCACAAAAACGTTTGACGATTTGGACTATGTTTATTTATAGATTTCCAATTTTAACAATACAAAGGTTTCTAATTTTAACAATAAGGACTTTCTAAACAATGAAGGCCATTGACCTCTTGTTAACAATACAAAGGTTTTTGTACCTTTTGTCTATAAGATTATTTTAAGAAACCAAATTATTTTTTCACGACAAATTGGACAATTATCTTGTGTAGTTGCACATTTTAAACAACTAACCAAATGACGACACGGCAAGTACACGTGATTTGCTACGTTTGTTTGACAAATTTTACATAGATAAATGTCTATTGGTTCAACAATGGTCTCAACAGGAGGAGGAGTTTCTCCGATTTTACATTTCAATTCACTTTTCCACAAGTTTAAAAATCCACAATGAGAGGCAAGTAAAGCGTGTTCGACCCATGGATCGTCTTCTGGCTTCCACTTATAAATACCAATACCACAATAATAACAGATACATCCACCATCGATATCGCAATAAAAACCAGCTTCAGCAAGTTGTTGTGGCGTTTGCTTGGCTTTTGAAATTTTTCCTTCAAAAGATTTTAATCTTGAGGGAAGGAGGATCATGTCTGGATGCGAAATTGCTTCATATCTGTTAATTGTTAAGGGAAATAGGAGATTGTGTTGAGGATCTGTGACAATGGGCTGGTCTTCAGAATCCATGTCAACAGCCTCCGTAGAATCCATAATGTCAATTTATATAAAAATATTTAAAAAACAACTTATGGAGGGTTTACAAATTACACATCCTTCTTCTTGTTTCTTTACACATTCTGCACAGGTAGCTAAAAGACTACACGGTATGTTCACGTAATTTGCTTCGTTGATTTTACACACTTTGCAAAGAGAATCCGTTCGTGCGATAACAGTCGGCTGAGTGACGTTCTGAATTATTTTCAATTTCCTTGTCTTCCTTTTTATATAGTTACAATCCTCAGAGTGTAAAGCGTGTTCGAATAATGGATCGTCTTCAGGCATCCACCCGTCAACAAGTAGTCCACAGCAAAAAGTCATGCAGAGTTCTTTACACTCCAGGTAATAAAAACCAGCTTCTGCGAGTACATTAGGTGGATGGGGAAATTCCGTTCCAATGAAAGACTTAATTCTTTGGTTGAGACGGTCCATGTCGGTACTGTATCTTGTCTTTATTTTTTTTGGAGCAGGCGCCATGATTATGTTCTTGTTCCAGTCTACTCATTGTGGTTACTGGAGCACGACTGAGCCCCGACGTTCGTCGTGTGCCTTTTTTTTATACTGGCGCATCCTCTGTACCTTTTTATATTTAGCCTTCCTCTCAGCGGATGCTTTTGTACCCATGCTCTCAGCGGGTGCTTTTTTATATTTAGCCAACCTCTTAGCGGGTGCTTTTGTACCCATGCTCTCAGCGGGTGGTCCCACTGTAGCCATGCTCTCAGCAGGTTGTTTCTGGATACGTTGATTATACATGTTGAACATACTTTTGAGCACGGCTTGAGCTCCGTCTAATGGCGCTTCTCGACGGTCGTCAAAACGTAGCACCATTGTTTGATGGCTCATTAGATGATGCTTTCCTCCCCTCAAAATCTTGTCTACGGCTGTCTTATATTCAGTTATATCCAGTTCAGGGTCCAACATAGCGGCTTTTAGTAGATTGATTGATAAATGTAATAACTGTTTTTTGTCAAATTCTAGGCTACCAGTGTCGTTCACTAGCACAAAACTTATTTTTGGAATAAACGTTGGATGTTCGTCTTTATCCAAACCGTATCGGCCGGTTTTCATGTATAACTGCAACACCCCTCCAATAGTAATCCATATTAGTAATCTGGGTTTGAGTCAATTTGAGTTTTTGTAAGTCCTCCATGGCTCGTTGCACCAATTTTGGTTTTTTCGTGTCCATGTGATCTTTTTTATTTTTTCGTTTTTTTATCTGGTTTCCAATATTTTGGTATACGTCTCGGCTCGTGAGCGGATCTATTTTGAGATGCTTACTGTCCGATAGCTGAACGATGACTAACTTTTTAAAAACGTTTCGTTGAAGAAAAACGTTGCGTTACACAATGAAATATTCCTCTGTTGTTGTAAGCACAGAATGAATAAGTGACTATAGAAGACAAACGCGCACATGTATATCGTCATCCAGATATACGTTATGACTCCAAAAATAAACATTAGTGGATGACAAAAGAATGATTTAGCAGCACTATCCATCTTGACAGTCAAATGAAGAATGAACTGTGACGAGAGATGTATGCAGTATATATTCTTAAAATGAGATTCTTGAAACGAAATGCAAAATACAATTCAAATTGATTTTTTATTTCAAAACACAAAAAAGCTAAAACATGTCAACTTCATCAAATGCCACACCGTAAAGTGAAAACGGGTCTTTTACGAGGTACTTTATCCATTCTTGTCCTCGTTGGTCTGTAGCGCGAAGAATTGTTTGTCCCCATGGATAAGCGAGTCCTTCCGTTTCTTTTTTTCTTTTTAACTCTTGGAGTTAGAGAAATTGGCATGATCCAATCATTGACCAAGTAAAATATCGGAGGAGCCTTATCACGAAATTCGTTTTGTCCCATGTTGTGGTATATCTTGAAGTTCCTTGTATGATGACAATTGTACAATCATTGGAAAATATGTGACAACGCTTGTCAACAAATTTGAAAATTTTGAAAAGAAGTCAATGTAACATCCAATGTCCTTCTCCAGATTTGTGAAGCAAATTTGCACAATCTTCTTCAGAGTTTCAATAACGAGTAAACTATTAAAGTTTACGACAGAATTTCCACTTTTCACGTAGACATAGTCCATGTGGTCGAAATGACTTAGCCAGACGACGTATTCTGTGTTGCTTGCTTTCTTTTCTTCAAATTTGTTCGCCGCAGCTTCTCCAAACAACAATTTTGAAACTTTTGTTGGAAATGTGTCGTTCATCAGCTTAAACAGTTGATCAAGTCCTTCCATTGAGCGTAGTCTTCCAAGTAGTATTTTTTCAATCAAATTGAAACAATCCGAGCGATTGAGCTCCACAACTCTCCCCTTTCTTTTGAGACGAAATGTTGGTCTGCCATCGCGAATTCCTTCGTCGACAACAAGTACAATTCCAGCTGGATCAAATGGATTTTTCGGAGTTTCCTCCTTTGCTGTAGTGTTCCTTCCAAAATCGCTGCGTGGGCCCGCCATTGTGACTGATAGATTATGAGCTGCGAGTCAGCTTTTTATACTACTAACTAAAACGTTTTTGCTCACAAAGGTATTTTTAACTCTGGGTACTTTTCCATGTAGACCACTCGACATTTTAAGCACATGAGAATCCATCTGGGTTCTTCCTCATCACTAATGTAAAATTGACAGGATTTGTAACAAAAATCAGATTTTAGCTTTCTAACGGGATTGACAGCAAATTCCATTTCAGCAACATTCAATTCTTTACCCGATTTTAGTACAGATGTAGACGAACAACAGGTAGATCTAATATAAATACAACAGTTTGATTTGAATTGCTTAATGGAATCACAAATGGTTCCGAAATAGTTTCTTAACGCAGCCATGGTTCTAATGGCGGATTCTTTGTAGTTCCTCTCTATAGAAACCACCTTCCAGAATCTGACCAGACTGGTCACTAAGAATATATGTGCGGGGAACAGTTTGTCTAATGTTGTGAATGATAAACTTTTCCGCTTGGAAATTTGTTGCTGCTCCTTTCTCAAATATCTTCTTCACTTTAGAAATTAAAACTATATCACCCACTTTAAATATCTCTGCTCTCAAGTCCTTCATATCAGTCAGATGTCCATATAAATTCTTATACACTTCACTTTGTTTTGCTGGCACAACGTCAATCGGTCGACACTTTATACTTCTATGATATGACTTATTGTACAAATTTTCTATTTCTCTAATTCTATTTACAAACTTTTGAGTGTTGTTATGTGTCATAAAACGATAAATCTTCTCCAAAATAGTTCTGTTGAAACGTTCCACAACACATGATTTTAATTCTGATTGAACTGAGAATAGTTTAATTTTATATTTGTCCATTAAGTCTTTGCAATTAGAATTATAGAATACTAAACCCATGTCTGTTTGAATTCGATTAGGGATTCCGTAACTTCGTTGAAATATCTTTTCAATTCCTTGTTTCACAACAATTCAGCTTTTGTTCTTCAGAGGCTGGATATAACCACGTTTGCTGAATATGTCAATTGCAGTCAAAAGGAAATGCATTCCGTTATTTGATTTGGCGAATTTAGAAATATCCATCAAATCCATTCCCCACTGTGCGTTTATATAAGGAGCATAAACAACTCGTCTAGGGAAATGAATTCGTCTTGATCGATGCAAAGTGTTAGCAGGAATTGTTTTCAAAACGTTTTCAATTTGCTTCACGGATTCTATAAAGTTTCCAGACTTTCTAAATCCTGTCAGTCCGCTAAAGCTGCATGGGAATCTTGGGTTAAGATAGGCACGTTTAATGTTTGACTCCATATTGGCTGAAGTTCCATGATGAACTAATCTCCAACGTATAAATAGGGCAGTATTTATACTGGACGAGTTCAGTTGAACAAGATGGCTAAGAATCGTATAGTCGCTAACGCTGCATTCCTCAAAAGCGTATGTAGCGCCAAACCGCAGCGTCGAAAGAAACTAATAAATAAGGCCAGTGGAGAAGAAATACGTTCAATTTGCGAGCTGTGCGTCAATTTGTGCAAGAAAAACATTCCAGTCACGCCTTGCAAAAAGAACAAGCTGTTGCCATTCAAATCGAGCTTACTTAAATTGACTGCAAAAAAGCCAAGTATAAAGACGAGGAAGAAATTCCTGAACCAATCTGGCGGATTTCTACCGTTGCTGGGGACAATTGTTAAAACACTTGCAATTCTCGGACCGGCATTATGGCCCAGAAAATGAAAATTGTGCCAAGATTTTGGCACTCAACTCACAAAAGGATTCCGAACTTGTCGGAATGTGAACTTATCTAGAAGATAAGTTAAAAGATCAGAGAAATCAGCTGTTTAAAGATTCCAATTTGACTGATGACATCAAGCTACCTTTGCTGCAGAACTTAAATCGACAGATTATTGACAAAAAATGAGCAAGACAAGAAACCACTGCTTGTTAAGAACGTAGAAGAGGAGAAACCTACACTTTCAGCTGACATTAAAAAATCTCTACCTACAACTACAATAAACAAACTATTAAACAAGACAACTGCACGCGGATCAAGAATCCTGGATTTCCTGAAGGAGCATGGAGCCGTTATTAGCAGCGATAAAGTTGATGTTGGTGGTGTGAGCTATTTCCTCGAGAAAATGAATACATGCTTAATTACTTTATGCAATGGATTAAGTGCAAAATCAACTGCTTTGACTGATCCCACAGTCATGCAACTTTTAAAGTTCATCAAGAGCAAAAAGCCACCCATCGATCTATTCCCAGCAAGCGTTAATGCCACTCTTAACAGGAAACAGGTTGGAGGCGGAAGGATGACTAGCATAAAACGAGCCAAAAAAAGAGCCAAAAGGATGCCAAGAATTGTACGATGGACAAAATTTTAATTTAATAAATATTTTATTGAATTCTGATTAATGTTACAATGTTTACACTTTCGATTCAATAAATACAACTTGTTCTTTAGAAATTGCTTAACTAATCTATCATTTCTACCATAATCATATGAAAAATTACAATAAACGCTCGCCAACGAGTAACCACTAACACGTTTCCATAAAAAATATATTGCATATTGACCACACACTGCACTATTTGGCGATTGTAACTGCACATTATTCTGAATTACACCTCTCCCGTGTCGGTCCACAAAATCTTGAAAATGTTGCGAGTAAGCTTCAATCCCTAGTCCGTAGATGCAAAACAGGTTAATTGGTGAAGTGGAACTTGCACTAAATAAACTAAGCCAGTGTTCTCCAGGATGAGAAGAAGGCTTACTATTTACAACTAGTGCAATGGGATATTTTTTTGTTTCAAACGAATCCAATTCATCACAAGCCAAGACATTGTACGTAACATTGGTTGAGCAAAAAAGTCCAGATAAAATCTTGTAGATTTGTACAGTATTCATGTTGTAAAGTCCTTGAAATATGCGTGTCAATTCTTGTCAATATAGAGCACTGATTGATAGTCGCAGTGGCAAATTACAGTTAGAGCTGATGTTATTGCTTGTCTTAGTTTAATTTCAATTTTAACACTTCCATGTCGTGGAATAGCGAACCCATCATGTTGATGTCGTAGATCAAAAATATATATAGTTTTTCCATTCTGAAAAACTTCAAATGTCAAGTCGAGTCCTGCGTCAATATTTGAGAGACCAAGTCCAGAAAACACACTGAAGTAGGCTTCAATACTCTTCTTGTTGTTAAAATCAAGCTCAAATGTTTGAGAAGTAACTTGTTCTGAATTTACAGTCACCGAAATGCTTGAAATATCAGCTTGCATGAAATTGAACCGGTTCTCCAGATAATTTCCATGAACAGCTTTGCTTGAAACTATTCCAATTGCTAATCGATCGGGTAGCAGACAGGTGATTAAGCTCTCGTTTGTATATTGTAACGTTCCAGCTGAAAGAGAGAATGATTTGATATCCCCCCTTCGCATAGGATAACAAGCTGGTTGACCCTTATCTAAGAGTTTTAAATGAGTTAGCGTAATCGATGGGAAGAGTGTATGTTTCTGAACAACCAGTTTGGCTTCAACGATATGAACTTGTGCTTGATCAAGCGTAGAACCAGCGGTTGGTGTTTTTCCCAACAGACAAAAGTTATCTGGCGATCGGTTTAAAACTATTTTCACATCAACACCAGGAATTAAATGCCTATTTTGATTGAAAATGTCACATCTCAATTTTTCACACATTTCAAACACTTTGCTGTTATGACTCAAAGATTCACGACTAATCCATCCCGCGTCGTCTGTAGTAGGTTCAATTTCTTTGCTGTAGAGAGCTGCTTGAGCTTGGGTTTTTGTATAGTCTTTCCCAAAAGAAAGGAAAGTTTCCATGAACGCTTTATAAGGGTATAAGGTTGATGGTGGAGTAATTTGTACATCATTTAAAAGAATGGTTACTTGATGTATCATTGAATGTAGAAAATTATTGACTGGAGCAATATTTGCTGAAGTTTCTCCAGCTCCTTTACTGTCAACAATTTTGCAACGAATGTACAATTGAGTTTCTGAGAAATCAATGTACTGCAAATCATTTCCTTGAATAATGAATGTTAGCGGCGTCGATCGGTCTTGTATATTTGTAATTGGATGATAATCAACTCGATTAGAGCTTGAAAGAGTTAAATCGTATCCTGGTTCCGAAAAGAGATCTGTCTCTGATCGGATAAAGTTAACCACATTCTTTGCTTTCGCCATTTTTAGTCAAATAAGCTGTTTTTTGAAATTAGTTTTCGTTTTGGCTTTGCTTTCCGTTTTCGTGTAACTCCTTTTGCTCTTTTTCGTGTGAGCCGTTTTAAAGGTTTACGTTTCACTGTTTTACGTTTGCGAACAAATTTTCGCTTTTTAGGGTTCCGCTTCACTGTCCTTCGTCGTTTAACTCCACTACCAGACTGATACACTAAACTGTTTCCAACCCCTTTTAAAGCTTCCATGGCATTTGATTTTAAAGAGCTGCGAAACGACTGTTTGTCGTTAATTACGTCTGAAGCAATGTTTTTCACCGCAGTTTTAAGCGATGGTATTACATGTGGCAGGATTGCTTTAACGTAGGGCAATAGCCTTCTTCCTATGGCTCCAAATATACCTCCAAGACCTGCTCCCTTCTGTCGATAATAACTAGCTTTATAGGCAAGCGAACCTCCGACTTGAGGTAAATACACCTCATAAAAGTCGTCATCCACGTTGTCCAGACAGGAATACATTTTCACTACATACGTTTTCTTCTAAAATGAAGTGTGGCACTGAAACTACCAAAAGTAAATGGTGGGGGTTTCGCGAATTCGTTCCTTATATACATTTGTATAGAGTCAAATTCGTTCCTGGCCAACGAAACATATTGTAAATTGTTGAAACTTTTTGAAACTATGACATCTTGTTGAGTGGGCACATGCACAAATGAACGCAGCATTGGCGCTGTTGTATCGCCAATATACTGATTTTCAATTAGTTTGTATAACACTTCACTAACAGGCTCTAGGCAAACAAATCCGTCCTTCAATTTGAAATTGATTTCACAATTGAGACACTGAACTAGCTCGTCAATTGTTTTAATGTCTATGGAAGCAAATATATTGAACCAATTGTCAGAATTATCCATGTAAAGTGAATTGCTTTCTTTCTGAAATCTGAATAATATTGTCCCTTTAGTAAATTGAATTGGTGTAGATGGATAGGAACATTCCACCAAGGCTATTTCGAATTGGTTTGGCTCCAATATTATAGGCGTGCTCATCCAATTCCTAAACGTTGTTACTGTATTGTCCTGGAAATGATTATACGAAGAATTACTTTCCAGGTGAATGTAAAACGACGACATGTTGTCACTTGTAAATCTAGCTGACAAATGCCTTTAACGTGGTCTCAACCTTTATTTAAATGATCAGTCTTAATCCAACTTTCAACGAGTAAAGATGGCGTTGATTTGCGCTCCAAAAGACCTATTTTGGCTAAGTTTCATAATCTTAGTAACGAATTTAATTTTCCTTGTTGTAATGTGTTTTTACGCCGTAATTGAAAATCAACATTCATATAGCCAATTTCAAGTTAATAACAATACTGCCCTAATTGTCGCAATTGACAAAATTCTTGAAAAAGTACTTAAGGAGCAAATAACGTGTGCTCTTGGCATACAATACATCAACCACACTATAAATCAAGCAAGGCAGCTTGTTGCTGGAGGACCTGCAGGCGCTGCCGTGGGTGGAGCTGCTGGTGGTGCTGCAATGGATTTACTTATTTCTGGAAGTGAAGTTTTAATTCATGGTGATGATGGCGAACTCCATGGTTATGTTAAATATGGAGCCAAATCGTAGATACCCTGGCAAACGATCAGCCTTACACCTTGGATGACGCTGTTGAACTTGCAACACAACCAATGCATGATGCGCTTGTAGGATATCGAACTGGCTCCATTATCCACGACACACCGCCTATTAAATCCATACCAGGACTTATCAAACAAGGAGTTATAGTTACTGAATCACTACCACCATTAGTTGCCAGTTCTTCTACTACTATTAGTTCTCTAGGTTCGAAATAATTTATAATTTGCTTTTTTTGTTTTTGTTTTTGTGAATAAAGTTTTATATATTGTAACATAATTTGTGTAATTTGGGGTACATTGAGATTTGGGGTGATGTGAGACTTTTGGGGTGACCTGAGACCTTTGGGGTGATATGAGACTTTTGGGGTAATATGAGACATTAGCACATGAAAATACATCTGCAAGATCATATCACGTGGTCTATATTCATATGCATGCATATACTCATATACATGGTCTCATATACACTCATATACATGGGCTCGTCCTCTACCTTTTCTATTTTTAGCCATATATAGCGTGGGATATACCTATATCCGAACCACTATAGCGCGTGAAGCAGGTTTTTTAGCCCTATACTCAACCGGATATACCTATATCCGGCTGGGTATAGCGTTTGGAGTCTGGTTATACACCAGGTATACTACTATGATCCCAATTATTTCGCATCATTTTCGATAACCGATTATTCGACCCCAAAGGTGCTAGTTTTGCTAAAATTGTAGTCCTTTCACTATCGATTTTCTGTATTGATTCGCACCAATTGCGTCATGGATTGTTCGATACCTATGGTGCAACTAATTGAGTCAATAATGGACAAGGGGATTTATAATTAGCATCAATTGATGCAAAAAACTCGTGAACACACGGACGGACAGACGGACAGGAGGAATCCAATAGCTCTCGTGCTACGCAGGGTGAGCTAATAATTCCTGGGTCATTTTTTAATGGGTGTTTTTACGAATTTTTAGTTCGAAAATCAAGCCCTTGACAACAAAAATTAATCATTGGCATAAAATAGTCAATAGCGTAACTTCATAAAGCCCGAACCTGTGTCTCATTCTATTATGTGTCCATGGGGACTTTTATACCTTTTTGCACCTTAAACTTTTTATTAGATAGTAGTATTTAAAAATATCTCGTGGGAATATTAACATTAGACGAGATGTGCATGATATTCAGGAAAATTTGAAGCCGATCAAACATACGAGATCAATTACGGACTTATCGACAGACAGACACACGATGATTAGATAAGTCCGCAAGCTAGAACTTTTTTTATGAATGGGTATATTTATGGATGAATTTTCATTTACGTGCCGCGAGACATCATGGTTACCAAAAATTCAGCAAAAAAATCAATTTTCGTTCAATTTCCATGCAAAAACCCGCTGGGGAAGCATCGGGGTGACCCCATGACGCCAAAATAAGGGATTGCTAAAATCGGGACTAATCAATTATTTGTTAATTCTCCAAACTTTTCTCCAGCGCACCAAAAATCCCTTACTTTGTCGTGTATCATTTTTATGCGGTCAAAGTTCAGCCCAAATTGATAGTCTTATATGGTAGGGGCCTTTACGAATTTTTCCTATCGACAAATTATCCATTGCAGCGTGACATTTTAACCACCCTGTATTTTTGCAGATTGCGAATATATAAAAAAAAGTCCAGACTCACTTATATCGTTCCATCGCATTTTCAATAAAATCCGTAAAATGGGCCACATTCGTGTACACGCCTAGCCTTCTACCACCTTCTTTGCACTCGAGACCATATGAAAAAACCCCGATGATGACCCCACCTACTTTGTCAGCGTCGAGGATAAGGGAAGCTCCCGAATCTGCGTGACAGGCCCCGAATTTTTTGTGACCTGCACAGATCATTGTTTTGGGTAAGATTTCTGAATCCGCAGTATTGCAAGAGGCCACGGACACGTTTGTTTTGAACAAATGTCGGTTCTCCTGAGGCATAAATGGTTTTCCCCATCCAGCCACAATAGCGGGTGTTCCGACTGGACGAAGGAAATAAAGTAAATAGTAAACATTTGTCAAAATGCAAGCTGTCAAAGCCCATACTGGTATAAATAACACCAGAAAATAATTGCAAAATCGCACAATTTGCACATATTTATGTATGTATTCATAATAAAAAGTGAGTCGGTGAATTTGGAACGATTTTGAAAACTCGGACGCTATTTTAAGTTTCGAGATACTTGAAATTTTGGTAAATGTTAGGTGAACAGTACATACATTCCAATTTTTATGTATGCATTTTGCGCAATATTTTGTCCACTCATTTTCCACCAGTAATGCAAAATTACATCAAAATTTATGCATCTAATTATTCTGCACTGTTGGTGCACATTTACATTTAAATTTTTATTACAGGGTGAGCTACAGTTTAATTTAATTTACCCGCTATTTCCTCCGTCCCCATATGTCTCGGAATTGATTCTATGTACATAGTCATAGAATTCTAAGGGCGAAGTCAACACCAAAATCGCCATATCGTTCTCCAACCTTCCTCCCACGTTGAATTCTTTGTGCGTCAAAATTTTCAAGACTCCGCGGATCATATCGACACGCAGGTCCTCCGTCCGTACCAGTCCTGCTTCGATGTACGATTCCTCCGGACTCGAATGTACGACACAACTGGCCGTCGTGAGAATTAGAAGGTTGGTCAAAATTGAACCAGAACAATGGTTCCAGGACTCATCGTCGTGGTAGGCTTGTAAAGAAACCTGGTACGGAAATTCGCCCAAAATTGCTGGAAAACCAGCCCGAACTGGTTCCGGAAATGATGGACCAACTGATATTGCTGACATGCTATTAAGATTTTCAGCAAATGTCACCTTGTTAACCATTATTGGGAAAGCTTAAGTTTTCTGAGGTTTCTGTTTAGTTATGTACGACCCACTGTAGAACTGGATGCGAACTGGGATTCACTAAGGGTTGAGTTGACACAATTATGACAATTTTATTATGCACAGTTTTAGTTGCAAGTATGTATTTATAGAGGATAAATTAAATATGGCACATATTTGACCACTAGATTCTGGACCGGCTGTTAACTTGACTAATGACACTTTTATTATTCCAAGAAATCCAGATTAAGATTGACGGCATAATTTGGACAGGCATGAGCAAATCCAACAGATTGCCTAAGTTAAGTGCATATCATTTTGGACAAACGATTCATTAACTCCATTAAAAACTTTTGCGATGCAGTATGCGACAAAATGCGCAGTAAAAATGAAAAATTCGCCGCCAGTGTTTGTGAATGCATTTATCCAAATTAATGAGACGGAAATGTCAAATTTATTATTTAATTATCATTTTATCAAGTCATCAAAGCATTACATACTTTAATAATTTATCATGCGGATAATTTCACAAAGTGCAAGCATGTATAATAAATCAAGGTTAACAAAGTTTAATTGGCTGGGTCATCCTAGAAGAAAATGATACGCATTTATTATCAAACATTTCATACACATAATTTACAGTTTCCGTGGGTGACCACTTACACTAGTGCACAATTTATGCAAAACGTAAGATTTACACCGCCTGGGTAGTGCAGACGAATAAAAGCCATAACAGAGCTTTAAAACACGAAAAACTACTTCAACCATAAAAGTAATCACAACAATCCCAACACAAATCCCGTATGCGTAAAATGCCGTGAAAATCTTAGAATTAAATTGTTCCAGTATCACATGACGGAATTCAGGAAATTTCCAATTTGCATAGTGCTTAAATAGCTTCTCCGGCTTGACACGTTTAAACCACTCATCCCAATATTTAAATATCCCTGACGAAATCATGACGTTCAACCTCTTGAAAACAAAATTGTTCTGTACGGGAAGAGATTCCCAACCATGCATGACAGACATAAACCCATCTGCTCCCTTTTTGTAAACTTTGTGGTTTTGGTTATCATTAAGGTGATCAATTGCACTCTCAACATTTCCAGAAAAATCCATATACGCTACCTTATCACAAGTTCCTAATTCCTTCACGAATTGTGTAAAATTCCGGTAGCGTGTCGGCTTAAAGAACGGACTGATATATTCAGTGTGACTCCCAGGTCGATGAGTTATACTATACGTAAGTAATTCCGCCATACCACAATACCCCGCAAGCGATGGGATCAACTTTTCTTCCGCATTGCACAATCCTCTGGTCAATAGACGGAGCTGCAATTTTGGGTAAAACATCTTGTCCAGCAGGTTTTCTGCCTCAAGTCCTTCAATCGTGCCGTGAGTAAAGACGGTTTCATAAGGGATGTAAAATGTGAAATTTTTCATATCCATGAGTGTTCGCCACATTGCAAATTTTTCCGCCGGCACTATCATTTCCATCGTGAAGCTGGTTTTGTAATAGTTAGTTAATATAGTGCCGAAGAGAATTGTAAAGAATCCGGAAGATAATCGAAAACTGTGTTTCCACCATAAATCCTTAACTTTGCTATCTACATTCAAAAGGATAGAATTCTCCATGAGGATACCAACAACTAGAAGTTTTACATTGATGTCCGACCCAGGTACCCTCAGGAAAAGGACGATAACCAAAATATTGATGCAAACCAATGCCCAGACGACAAGTTGGAAAGGTGTAACCAGTGGGGACCACATATTACTGTGATAACCAACCCCATCGCATGACAAGAAACTCCAAGATTTTCTTTCTATCGGTAAGACAGAATGATAGTACCAGGTGAGATACATTAGTTCCTTTATTTGCGGAAGGAGGTGAAGTACTTTGATTTCCTGCGGTTCCGTTTTATTCACCGAATCAAACAAAACATCTTGAAATATCCAGAATCCTACGAATTCTTCGAATGTCGTTAGTTCAACTACTTCACGCATGTCAAAGCTTTCGGAATTCTCACTTAAATATTTGGATTTGATAAAGTGGACAACTTCACTGTCAACGTATGGACCCGCGTTACTCATTTTAAGCCAGGCCTCGAGAGTCCAGAAATATTTGTTCAAGTCGGCAATCTTATCGGTGAGAATAATCAAATCCTCAAAACAGCTGGGATAATAGCCATTTCTGCATGAAATGGTGGTCCAAGGTGGCAAAACATTTTGCGTTTCTTCCGAATAGTATCGATTATAACAATGTAGTAAGATATCGGAATTGTAAGTAAATTCTTCACCACTTTCCCCACGGTCTTCTAATACATCAATCAGCACAAAGTTCACTAATCCAAAATCCCCCAGGTTACCATTTTCATATTGCCGTAGTATACCCAAGCCCAAGGCCTGAATTGCTTTTTGAAACTCGGACCTGAATTTTGTCACCCAAACGAAATATTGTGGAAAATAGAATTGTCTAATATAATACCACACGCTGCTACGGTGGGCGATTAAATTTTCTTTGAAATTGCCGCCGCTCTCAATCCCAATTCTCAAATTATAGTCATTCTCGGGGAACGTGAGAATAAATGCATAGCAGTTCCCTAATATGTTTTTCCGTCTTGGCAACGATATCTGAACAGTGTCGATATTTGTAACCACGAGTTCCGGATTTACAAGAATTAGAGGTTCTTTGATTCCATTGAGGGCAAAATCACGACTGCCATTCCTCATGTCAAAAACTGTTGTGCAGTTTACAAATATATCTGCGATATGTGACAATCTTTGATTTTCACGATTATTAGATGCTACCTTCGACGAGATAAATTCACTATCACGACGTGCGGATAGGTTATTGAATTTGGTAAAAAATAACAATACCATGAACCAATGGGATTCATTGTGTTTGAAAGCGACATCGTCTTGCATTTTTAATTAAACTTTGTTGTCAGTGCTCAAATAGCCGGTCGAACTAAGGCAAATGCAATATTTTAATTAGCGAAATAAATAGATGTGTCTTCCCTTTGAAGTCTAATATTAAATTAAATCTTCAACACACCAACGTCACTGTCCCACTAACTTTTGACCAAATTTTGCGCTAAATAAATATACATATGTAACATATCCCTGTGCCATTAGAAAAATTGGAAAAAAACATTTTATGTCTTTCAATCATGAAAAAAGTGGGTCATTTATTCAGCCTAAATGGGTGCATGATAGTCTGAAACCACTTAAAGCTGCCCACCCAGCCCGCTTCAAATTGCATGAGGGACACACTGACAAACACGTGTGTGTTATGTATACATAATGTATGTGTTACATAACTTATGTAAATATCTTGTAGCGTCATATATCTCAAGATATTTGATCAAATATATGTCACACCTAGGACATTATGCATATATGTATGTAGAAGACAGATATATATATCACCTAGTTTTAACGCAATTTAAACGAAATCACACCTACTTTCCTAACACTTTTCAATTCACTAACGCCACGGTGCTTCAAAATTTGCTTTTAATTAACTAGAGATCGCTAATAGCATGCAATTACATATTTATTTTAATAAATTGAATCAGGTTAATATTTTATCTTGGAATTGAACACAAAGTATGAAAATTGTAAAACTTGTGTTTAACATCTGGAATAAAAAATGATCTTTAAATTATCATACTTGACTGCGTTAATTATTGAAACATTAGGCTTTTCTTACCGAAATAACCAAAGGATAATTTAAGGTAAACATTCCCCGTCCACTTAATCCTACCGGATAATCCGCCAACTCTTGCTGAACTTTCATTGCAATCAAAGAAAACCCAGGTGCGACTGCCTGTCCCTTCAGGGACAAAGTATCAGATCCGTTTATGTTGTTAGAAATCCACTTTTTCAACGTTTACACCTAAAGAATATGAAAAACCCTTCAATTAAAATAAACCCAATTAATTAATTAATTAATTAGTTTATATCACTAACGTTTAAACAGGATTCCGCTGCGAAATATAAAATCGCTACGTTCATTAATGTGCATATTGCCAACCACGTTCTACCCACGATCGATTCTTGAATCATCAAGTCCATCAAATGCATTGAATAATATAGCAAAACCTCAAGCAAATAGGGAGCCCATAATGTATCAAAGGCCTCATTTAACAGGTTTGACAAGACCTTTAAATCTTCATAAATTTCCAAAACTTCCCGCAAACTGAGATCCTTTCTTGTTGCTAAAACAATAGAAAAATATTTGCACGGCACCCACAGCCCGATAGCCACCGAAAGAAGAAAATAGTCCACAGCAGAAAGTATTTGTGCTCGGAAAAAGGAACTAAGAATGTCCAAAATGCCGAGGGGTACGTCTAAATATACGGGATAATTATTATTATAACTTGAAAGAATGTTGGTTGAGTTTGAATTTGAGAATGGTTTGAAATAATTATAGAAATCGGAGTAAAAGTTAGTGTCAAAAAGAGCAATATGTTTGGGTAGTAGGACTTCGATAAATCAAAATTTATTCGAATGGGATTTGTCAAATAAGTGAATTGCAATAAAATTTCATAAATAGCTCGCAGAATTTTAATTAAATGAAGTAATGGCAAATAAACCTTTGGTAAATATGTACATATATATATATACATGGTGAGTCATAATTATCTCCTCTCTAAGAAATTGTATTACCACGCGGTGTACACATATGACTCTACGGTGCTCGTAGCCGCACTATTACGCCATAGGAACAACCCAATCTGTACTTCGTAATGCTGGCACGAGACTAAATATTTACTTCCATATCGCGGTGAGGGACGAATTGAGACACTTGGCTACCGCTGATAGTAATAGCTTATCACACCAGCGGTAACAAACGATATTAAAATTTTATTACTGGATTTTTAAGAGTGTCCTATAGTTTGATACTACCTGTATATGTTAATATCGACACGAAAACAAATTTGATTCACCAAATCTTTTTTTGTACATCATATTTAGTTTAATCTTTCGTGAGTTAA